GTCTCCACCATCTCCCCTGTGGTCCTCACCATCTCCCTACGGTCCTCACCATCTGCACCATGGTCCCCACCATCTCCCCCATGGTCCTCACCATCTCCGCATGGTCCCCACCATCTCCCACGTGGTCCCCACCGTCTCCCCCGTGGTGCCCACCGTCTCCCCCGTGATCCCCACCATCTCCCCCGTGGTCCCCACCATCTCCCCCGTGGTCTCCACCATCTCCCCTGTGGTCCTCACCATCTCCCTACGGTCCTCACCATCTGCACCATGGTCCCCACCATCTCCCCCATGGTCCTCACCATCTCCGCATGGTCCCCACCATCTCCCACGTGGTCCCCACCATCTCCCCCGTGGTCCTCACCATCTCCACCATGGTCCCCACCATCTCCCCCATGGTCCCCACCATCTCCCCCATGGTCCTCACCATCTCCGCATGGTCCCCACCATCTCCCCCGTGGTCCCCACCGTCTCCCCCGTGGTGCCCACCGTCTCCCCCGTGATCCCCACCATCTCCCCCGTGATCCCCACCATCTCCCCCGTGGTCCCCACCATCTCCGCATGGTCCCCACCATCTCCCCCGTGGTCCCCACCATCTCCCACGTGGTCCTCACCATCTCCCTACGGTCCTCACCATCTCCACCATGGTCCCCACCATCTCCCCCATGGTCCCCACTGTCTCTCCCATGGTCCTCACCATCTCCCCCATGGTCCCCACCGTCTCTCCCGTGGTCCTCACCATCTCCCCCGTGGTCCCCACCGTCTCTCCCATGGTCCTCACCATCTCCCCCGTGGTCTCCACCATCTCCCTAGTGGTCCCCACCATCTCCCCCGTGATCCCCACCATCTCCCCCGTGGTCTCCACCATCTGCCCCGTGGTCCTCACCATCTCCACCATGGTCCCCACCATCTCCCCCGTGGCCCCCACCATCTCCCCCGTGGTCCCCACTGTCTCCCCCGTGGTGCCCACCATCTCCCCCGTGATCCCCACCATCTCCCCCGTGGTCCCCACCATCTCCCCCGTGGCCCCCACCATCTCCCCCGTGGTCCCCACCGTCTCCCCCGTGATCCCCACCGTCTCCCCCGTGATCCCCACCGTCTCCCCCGTGATCCCCACCGTCTCCCCCGTGGTCCCCACCATCTCCCCCGTGATCCCCACCATCTCCCCCGTGGTCTCCACCATCTCCCCCGTGGTCCTCACCGTCTCCACCATGGTCGCCACCATCTCCCCCATGGTCCTCACCATCTCCCCCGTGGTCCCCACCGTCTCTCCCGTGGTCCTCACCGTCTCCCCCATGGTCCCCACTGTCTCTCCCATGGTCCTCACCATCTCCCCCGTGGTCCCCACCATCTCTCCCGTGGTCCTCACCATCTCCCTCGTGGTCCCCACCATCTCTCCCATGGTCTTCACCATCTCCCCGGTGGTCCTCACTGTCTCCCCTGTGGTCCCCACCATCTCTCCCATGGTCCTCACCATCTCCCCTGTGGTTCTCACCACCTCTCCTGTGGTCCTCACCACCTCTCCTGTGGTCCTCACTATCTTGCTGGTGGTATCTGGCCTTGTCTGGTTTCTGATGACACCAACAGTCCTCATGACAGCATCACTTCTGCAGAGTGCAGGTGCTGGGGATCTGGAGGCTGTATAACTGTGTGGAAAGATGTAAACAATAGCAACAAGACAACTTGCCTTAGAAGCCACACCTATTACAATGTTCACAAAGTCGTACCCAAAGACTGAGGTCTTAAGTCTCCACGTTCATGTCTCAGGTGAAGAAATCTGCTGACTACTGGGCTCCCCTCTGCAGCTGACAACCAGCCAGACTCCCGGAGGAGCGGCTGGAGCCCTTGGCCTGATGTCCCTCATGGAAACAGGCTGGGGGAGACCCCAGGCTTCTCATGACTGGTGGAAGAAACTGAATGATGTACGGAAAGCAGTGTCTCCATGGCCTTACCGTATGAGTCCGTGTTATCCATCTCACAGCCTCGGTGAAATGAGAGCAGGTGACCAGAGGCAGGATGGATCTGGTGTTTTCATCCTTGAGGCCACCACTGGTTCAGGCATCTCTTCTGTTGGACAGCCATTGGCCTGACTCAATTTGTAAGTCATCATCCACTTTGGAGAAGTAAGTAAAAGAGGGACTGTCCCTATTGTGTGTCCGTTCCGGGTTCCCCGTGCAAAGTCATCTCTAGGTCCAGACTGTCAGAGGGAGACCTGCCTAGCAACTTCCCCAGGCCCGAGTGGTCCTTGGATGGGGCAATGAAAAGACATTTCCTGTGTTGTGTGGTGTAATACGAGCTACAGATTTCACTGGGGCTGCGAGCTGCAAGGGAGGAAATCGGAGTGCCCGGGACAGCGCGCCGTAATTAATCATAGGAGGATGGAGCTTGTCAAGGCCCTTTCTGGGGCTGACGCTGCTGTCAGTTACAGCCGGCCCCGCACCATCTGTAATTGTTTAAAATATCACCCGTACCAGGATCCACGCTTCGCACACTCGGCTTCATTGACGCCTCCCAAAGAACACTCCAACATCCACCGCCCGCCCGGGGGGCTGTGCAGCTGTGCTGACCTCCGAACAGACAGAACCGGCCAACGTGAACACTCGGCCAGACCCGCGAGCTGTAACAGAACCTCAATGACGCGACTCCCATTTCAAGTCGCAGTTCCAGCAGCTGACTCACTCTGGTCGAGGTGAACCGGAAGTAAGAGCAGGTGGTGGGGGCTGGAAAGGAAGACAAGCATCTCAACCAAAAGGGACTTCGCGGGCTTACAGAGCAACTTTCCGGCTGAGAAGACCATGACCCGTCACTCTGAGCGAAGCATTCATCAGAAGCGTGGCATCTGAAGGGCCAGCGTGTCCGTGTGCTCGCGGGGAGCGCGGCGGGGGGGACCCGCAGGCGCATCCCGCCTGCGCGCCGAGGCGCTCCTTCCGCTAGTGAGTTAGGTTCTCTAACTTTTCCTAAGGGCTTCCCTGGTGGCCCAGTGGTAGAGACTCCACCTATCAATGCAGGAGATGTGGGTTTGATCCCTGGGTCAGGATCCCCTGGAGAAGGAAAGAATTTTTCCTAAGAGCCTATGTGCGTGCGTGCGTGCTCGTGTTGGAGCACGTGTTCGATTCTTTGTGTCTTAGTCGTGTTGGATTCTTTGTGACCCCGTGGACTGTAGCCCTGGAAGATGTTTATTTTACTGATCCATTAAACAGAGAGAGTTCTTAGAATATATTTTATAACTAAAGAAAAAGGAGGGACATGTCATTACAGAGGAATTCCAAATTAGGTTTGTAAATATCCGCCTCCAGGAAGCGGACCTAACTTTCCCTGCGGTGGCCCCCCCTGGAGATTGAGCAGGACTTTGTGCCTTGTCTCCAGACCAGGAGTCTGGAGAGGGAAGGCCAGCACCTCTGCGGAGACACATGAGCCCCCTGGTCCAGGCAGGCATCCCCTTTGGTATCACATGGATTCACAGGCCCCTGAGATGTGAAGCTACCGTGGACTCTTCCCCTCACAGAGCCTACAACCCCAGACTAATCAGGACACAACCTCTAACAACTCAGAGAGAGGCACATTCTACAGAATATCTGCGTGAAACCCTTCAAACTGTCCAAGTCATGAAAAACGTCTGAGAAACTGCCCCAGATTGCAGGAGCCCTTGGAGACCTCCGACTAGATGCTCCTGGACTGGACCCTGGGTCAGAAAAAGGGTGTTGATGGAAAAGCTGGCAAAATCCACTAAAGCCTCTGTTTGACTGGCAGTGTTGTTGCCGCATTAATTACTTAGTTTTGGCAAATGCCCCCTAGTTATTGAAGACGCTGACTTCAGCAGAACCTGGGTGAAGGGTATGTGGGAACTCCCTGAACTGTCTTTGCAACTTTTCTGTAAGTTCTAAGATTATTCACAACCAAAGTGTTTATAAGATCAGATACAAATAAGTCTGTAAAAATGCTGAGTCACAGTGGCTGAAATACATCTCCTTTTCCTTCTGCCCCCTGCAAGTGTGACCACACTGCTCCTGGAATACAGACCTAGCCTCCAATGGAGATATGTGATATCTCATCTCACTAAAATGCTTTCAAAATTCCATGGTTTCTTTCCCTTCTGGAGAGGATTCCACTTTCCAAGTCGTTTTAGTTAGTTAGTGTTAGCTAGTTGCTCAGTCATGTCCGACCCTTTGCGACCCCATGGACTGTAGCCTACAAGGCTCCTCTGTCCATGGAATTTTCCAGGCAAGAATACTGGAGTGGGTGACCACTCCCTTCTCTAGCAGATCTTCCCAACCCAGGGATCGAACCTGGATTTTCTGCATTGCAGGCAGATTCTTTACCATCTGAGCCACCAGGGAAGCCCTCCAAGTTGTTTACTAGTAGTAATAACTTATGAAAATGTTAGTTTATGCTGGAAAGTGCAAAAGCTACCATATAAACAAAATGGGGGGGCAAAAAACTGCATGGAGTCTACTTTTTCTGTTGGAAAGCTACCCAAGAACTGAAAATATTTTCTTTAATCTCTTTGTTAAGTCTATGAAGTGCTAGAATCTCCAGGAAGAAGCCCGGCTATGGCCTCAATAACCTCACAGCATGTGTGTATGACCCTGTTGGAAATATTCGGTGTTATCAGTGAAACTGTGTCACAGTGGTAAAGAATCTGCCTGCCAATACAGGAGACGCAAGAGACACAGGTTCGATCCCTGGGTCGGGAAGATCCCCTGAGAAGGAAATGGCAACCCACTCCAGTATTCTGGCCTGGAAAATTCCATGGACAGAGGAGCCTTGTGGGCTTCTGTCCATGGGGTCGCAAAGCGTTGGACACGACTGAGCGACTGAGCGCACACACCTCGGTGAAAATGGCTTACAGGTTTTTCCCTCCTGTGGGCAGAGCAGAGCTGGGTCAACCACGTTAGCACTCGAGAGCTGCTTCCTTCACAGTCACAGGGACGGGGTGGCTTCCTGCCTGTACCTGCTTACCTACCTGCCTGCCTACCTATGCATACCTGTGCATGCTTGCATACCTATGTATGCATCCATACCCCGTGGTCCTGTTCCCTGGATGACACGTGACTGGCCAGCGCCACCTCCCACCTGCTCGGGTGGCCCTGCTCTCTCCACCTGCAGGTCCAGGAGCATCATGTCCACACCAGGTACCCCTCCCTCCCTCTCCAGGCAGCAGGTCAGAGTTCGTGCTGTCTCAGAGTTTCACTGTCCAAGCAGAGGCCCTGACTCCTGCGCTTCTGGTGGAAAGGCTGCGTGGGTGTGGGTGTGTGTGTGTAGTGCCCTTGGCTGACCGGTGTCTCCATTCACAAACATCCCATGTCTGTGAGCGCATTTACTGCCAGGGGGATGGGACGTGTCTGGTTTGATGGGTTTTCCTTGACAAGATTGTCTTGATGTAAAAGTGCATGGCGTCTGTGGCATTTGAGACCCTGCATGTCCTGCAAAAATGTTTTAGGGGCTCACTGTTTTGCTAATAGAGAGTTGTAAAATAAAACAAAAGCTTTGAGAAGCAAAGAAAGCTTCAGGAGAGTTCAGACAGTGTTATAATGAAGCAGAAACTATTTGTGCCGTGGCTGCTGAGAAACATTTGAACAGTTTTGACACCATTTCCTGATGTGGGGGATTTTTCCGTAAGGAAGTATTCTGAAATGCAGAGTAAAATGCGACAAGGGTGCTGGTGAAACATGTGGATTGTTGTGTTATGACTGCTGTGCTTCTTCATCCCAGCTGTGGGATTGATCCTGAATTCATTACACACACACACACACACACACACACACTTGCCTCTCAGTGGAGACCAAAAATTTTAAAGGCAACAGTTGGGCCGGCCACTGTGGAGGGTTGCAGGTTCTGGCTCAAGGTCTGTGTGGACTCCAGCAGGCCTGTCTTAAAGTGAGGACATGGAGACAGTGGGATTTCAATGTAAAAGCTTAAAATGCAGTCAAGAGTCGCCAGGAGAGTTTCTCTGAGAAAGACTGCATTGTGGACTACTGTGGGTTTTCGGGGTCAGCTCTTGGGGCCACTGAAGCACTCCCCACAATCTGGAGAAATACCTACAAGTGAAAAGAAAGAAAGTGAAAGTGAAAGTCGCTCAGTTGTGTCTGGCTCTTTCTGACCAGTCCCTGGGATTCTTCAGGCCAGAGTACTGGAGTGGGTAGCCGTTCCGTTCTTCAGGCGATCTTCCCAATCCAAGGCTTGAACCCAGGTCTCCCGCATTGCGGGCAGATTCTTTGCCAGCTGAACCACCAGGGAAGCCCACCCGCACGTGAGGAGACCTGCAATTCCTGTGCTTTGATTGTTAATTAAAAAGAAGACACACACGGTGGGACTTCCCTGAGGGTCCAGTGGTAAGACATCACCTGTCAGCACAGGGCGTGCGGGAATGGTCCCTGCTCAGGAAGCTGAGATCCCACTTGCCTTGGGGTCCAACCCCCCCCCAATATCATAAAACAGAAACAATGTTGTAACAAATTCAATAAAGACTTTAAAAGGGGTCTATATCAAAAAAGTCTTTAAAAAATAAAAACAAATTTAAAAAGCATATTGTTTGCAAATCAACAGTTGGGGCAGAGCTACCAAATAGTTACTGCTTTTCTTTATAATTTAGCCACGGCTGTGGTGCTTGTTTTAACTTCTTGCTCTGAATATGGGGTGCACGTCTGTCGCTTGTTCTGGAAGCTTCCTTTACTTGAATTTGTCGTTGTTGTTCAGCCACTAAGGCATGCCCAGCTCTTTCCATCCCCCTGGACTACAGCACGCCAGGCTTCCCTGTTCCCTGTCCTTCACCATCTCCTGGAGTTTGCTCACACTCATGTCCGTTGAGTCAGTGATGCCATCCTACCCTCTCATCCTCTGTAGCCCCCTTCTTCTCCTGCCTTCAGTCTTCCCCAGCATCAGGGTCTTTTCCGATGAGTCAGCTCTTCTCATCAGGTGGTCAAGATATTGGAGTTTCAGCTTCAGCTTCAGTCCTTCCAATGAATATTCAGGGTTGAATTTTTTTAGGATGGACTGGTTTGATCTCCTTGCTGTCCAAGGGACTCTCAAGAGTCTTCTCCCAACACCACAGCTTAAAAGCATCAGTTCTTTGGCTCTCAGCCTTATTTATGACTTGAGGAATGCCACAGTTGTTTGGAGCCCAGTTTGGGGCTCCTGGAAGTTGCAGCAGACAAATTCCAAGGGGAGATTTGCAAATGCCTGGGAGGGACCACCCTTCCAACATTGCCAAGAAATAAGGCTAGTGGTTAAAAAAAAGACCAAAATTCAACTACAATTTTCTTGCTATATTTCAGTAGTCTCATCTGTTTAACAGATGATTGCTGAGTAAAGATGGACATAAGGAGCTGGGGGAGAGAGAACAGAGCTCACTTTCATGTGGGAAAGTCTCAGGTGCATGGGGTGGAAGGAAGGGACCTGCCGTGCTCAAAGAAGCCTGGAAGGTAAATATGAGCCCAGAGCCAAAGACTGGGAGGCAGAGGGGGGCCTCACTGGGCCAAGTTAAGGCCGCGTGTTGATTCAGAGGGTGCCTCACTGAAGAACAGTCTGAGTAATGCTATTTATGTCCAGAAAAAGGGCAGGTAAGAGTTGCTGCAGGGCTGACCTGGGGTTCTTGTGATGAAGTGGAAAATAGGTTCTGGGAAGGTACATTCCTGGGAGGATGATGGCCATTGCTAGGGCCATTGGTAGGGCTCTGAGAGATGGGGAGGAACATCTAAATGTCCGTAGCCTTCTTGATTGAATAGCCAAGTGGCCAGTGCTCAGAGGACAAGTTGCTGTTGGGAGGTGCTTAGGAGGCACTGATGCTCAGAGTTTAGGGAGAGGTAGAGAGAGTCCAGGACTGTTCTGAGGGACATCGGGATGGGTGAAGATGAGTCCGTGAAGACCCCCAGGTTGGTTGCAGATGGAGGAGAGGTACCCTGTGAATTGTAACCCAGAAGTCACTTGGTATAACAGCCAAGCCAGCAAAGATGGCAGAATCATTGTGAAGTAACTCACCCAGAAAATGTCTAAAAGTAGAGTGGATTGTTTCTGGTTTGTTTATTAGTATCATTTATCAGGGCTTCTCAGTTGATAAAGAATCTGCCTGCAATGCAGAAGATACTGGTTCGACTCCTGGGTCATGAAGATCCTCTGGAGAAGGGATAGGCTACCCACTCCAATATTCTTGGGCTTCCCTGGAGGCTCAGCTGGTAAAGAATCTGCCTGCAATGCAGGAGACCTGGGTTCAATCCCTGGGTTGGGAAGCTCCCCTGGAGAAGGGAAAGGCTACCCACTCCAGTGTTCTGGCCTGGAGAATTCCATGAACTGTATAGTCCATGGGGTCACAAAAAGTCTCACAAGATTGAGTGCCTTTCACTTTTCAATAGTAGCATCATATAGTAGATTTTATCAGTTTATAAAATGCTTTCATACAAACTGCCTCATCTAACTATTTCAACAACCCTCTGAGAGGCACTGGAAAAACATTTTTAAACCAATTTTTAATAAGGAGTGAGCTGAGACAAAGAGTTTAGTGCAGAGGAGTGAGCTGAGACAAAGAGTTTAGTGCAGGAAGAGAGCTTCATCTGAACCATGATGCTTCAGGAGTGGTCTGTGTTTCCATGTCTGAGCTCTGTGGGGCTTCAGGCCCTGCAGCAATGAAAGAAGGCAGGAAGGGGGTCTGGGTTTGGGAGCACTCGCTGAGGGAGTGAGGAAATCGGGGGAAAGCCAGTGGAGACACGTCACCTGTTCCCTGAGAGCCTGTGCCTGGTGTTCTGTGAGCAGAGGACAGGGGGCCCACCAGGTCCCAGCGGGCAGGTAGACCTGATAGAAAGGAGAGAGTGAGCGCTTCACAGATGGAGACGTGCAGAGGCACTGCCGGGGGCGGGGGGGACCCAGCAGAGGCAGGGGGACAGGTGTGATCATGGCATGTCTAGAGACCAGGTGTTTACGCTCCCAGAGGAGTGGAGGAGATGCCCAGAGTCACCTGGCTCATGGCTGGCAAGATGGGTGAAGGACCAGACCCAGAGCTCATTTCTGTCCAACCCCAGGTGCTGTTTCTGCTTCTCCTCTGGTTCTCTCTACCTATCCATTCATCGTCTATCATCTGTTATTATCTATCCATCCATTATCTACCACCACCTCTCTATCTCTTGTCTATCAATCTATCTACATATCCATTCATCCATCTATTTATCCACTCATCTTCTATCATCCATCATCCATCCATTATCTATCATTTATCTATCTGTCTTTACCACTGTGTCTATATCATCTATGCTTCTATTGCACTTTTTAAAACTCAAGCTTACAATAGCAGATTTGAGGAGTTGTGAAGAAGCTGGGATTATTGAGAATATAAAATGCTTCAACCACTTTGGAAAGTAGTTTTCCTCTAAAATTATACCCACATCCACCATTGATGACACCAAAATTCCACTTTGTGGTATTTACTCAAAAGATTGAAAGCATAACTCTACAAAATGGCTTGTGTAAGAGTGTTTGTAAAAGCCTCATGCATAACATCACCAGGAGAATGGATGAACAGTCAAGGTTTACCCCTTTGAGGGAACAGCAGTCAACAACACCCTGCTCACACCTGACTCTAGGGAACATCTCAAACTGTTCCCCCAAGACAGAGAGGCTGGTCAGCAAACCAGCAAGAGGGTCCCCATCAGGAACCAGGCCTGTTGAATCCATTGATATCTTGACCTTGGACATCCCAGACCGTTAGACAGTAAGAAATGAATGCTTGTTGTTTAAACCACTGAGCCTATGGTATTCTGTATGGGAATGTGAGCCAGGTTTAAATCAAGCTGCTGCTGAAATGCCAGAATCAGTTGGCCTCAAATAGTGTTTAAAATCAAGATTCTGAGGTCAGAGTGGTCCTGGGGTGTACGAGTGTGTTTGCTTGCACACATGGGTGTACACACCTGTGTGTGTCTACAGCTGCGTTAATCTACCATTGCCCAACAAAAGAAAGCAGGCTCTACATTTGAGGACTTTTGCTTTTTTATCCCCTGACTTAGTAACATGATGAAAGTTATGTTTCCACATAGTTAAAACAAGCTGAACCTCTGATCAACCAAAAATCCGCTCACGGCTCCTCAGACCCTGCCCAGGAAGAGTAGGGTCATGCTGAAGAACAAACATTCATGCCA